GCATCGCATTCCACATCACATCAAACCGACCAGTGGCCACGCGGCTGTCTTACCTTTGTAGCATGGGTCATCAGTAAAGCAAACGCATTCGTACTTTGTGAAAGTCTCGTCTGGCCTACAGCGACCACTAGAGCACGGATTTGAAGAACAAGGATTCTGAACAAGAACAGCGAAGTTTTATGACGTAATGAGTGAAGTGGCGAGTTGCATCATGGTAGATGAAAGTGTCAAGATGGCGGATTATATTTCAACTAACCTGATAAAAGCAATAATCATATGTTGTTCCCTTTTGAATATCACCAGGATGAATCACGTGGTCAGAGTGGCTGAGTACGCATGCTCGGTTGACACCACTTTTTGGCCCTAAGTTGTATGAGACGCACCACTTTTCCATGTAACATTGCAGACTACATGTCTCGTCACTGTCTACTTCGTGACGTGAAATCACGTGACGTGTTAGGTTTTGKTTGGGAATACACGGGCGACGCTCCATAATTCGACATCCTGGGTCAAACATTTCAAAACATTATTGAAACTGAATGCATACTTCCCGGCAAAATGGCCTCCGCTTATTATAAGATTTTTTTTTCAACACTACTGCCAACTTTTATTACAGTAAGCATGATAAAGATATAATATAAATATCTGTATTTGCAATAATTCTGACCCACCTACGTTAATATTGATATTTATCATGTAATTATCTATGAAATAACTATATTTCTCCATTACGGAAAGTTCAGTGTTATTATCACTAGTGAAAATATCGTATTCGAGGTTTCTCTATATAGGGGAAGTAAGAAAAAAKATATTTTACGGCATAATTTGTTTTMATATACAATTATATGATAAATAGAATATTATATGTTCGCTTGGAGGTACGAATTTTATCTTCTCGTGTTGAAAATCTCTCACTCGTTCGCTACGCTCATTCGTGAGAGATCTTTTCAACACTCGAAGATAAAATTCGTATCTCCGCGCGCCATGTAATATCCTCTATATATCAAAGTATCCTTAAAAACTATGGGATACCAGTGCTAATATTTTTTTTATATAGAAAGTACTCATTCTGGACAACTCAAAAATATATATCAGTCATATATCCCATCATATTAAAGTTCAATTTGATATATGAATATATATCAGTGTATAGGTGGGTCAGAATTATTGCAAATAGCTGTACATGTATAGATTATATATTTACATAWAATCATTTTTTCGTCGATAATCTTGGTTCACATTTCCGTTTCGCGGAACTATATTAAAATARTTTTTAAGAACTGAGAATTGACACAGCTAGGAACGGAACATGTGGAGTTATAATTGAAAAAACTATATCTGCAAGGGAGAGTGCGGTAATTCAGATTCTACAAAAGCAGCCGAAAATATTGAAAAACACTTAGAGATAGAAACGCAAGAATCACTGATTGTGAAGTAGGTCCGTKAAATTAAGTATAGACAGTTTTAATTAACGTCACATCGACAAAATGATTAAAAAAAATTAAAGTAATGATAAATGACCAGCTACTTTTGAAAACCTTATMAAAACTAATTTGTATGTTATATAGATGCGTGTCCTAATATTGCCCTGAAGGCAGCTATCTTATGGATAAGCATATAAACCAGAAAGGCTTTGAATTTAGATAGACAGCTTTGCAACGTCACATCGACAAATGAAAACAAAGTAATGAAGGGAAAAAAAGAAAAAGGAACTAGTTTTGATGAAAAACGTAAAATATATGATTTGTATKATACTATAAATTGGTGTCCTAAACAAACTTTTGTCCAAAACTTAGCTATCCTCATTAAAGTTATTGATTATGAGATGTATCTTTGCGGTAAACAATCTACAAGCRTCCCGGCTTTCTAAAGATATATGGATCTTAATTGAGTTTGAATTTGCTTTCTTAAGTGTAAGACCTTTTCAAACCATTCTAGCTATTCAATTTAGAAAAAACTTCTTCGCTGAAAAATTTGTGTACATTATGATTTGAAGATAATAAGTATAATAATAGCGCCGAGACAATTCCGTGCAAAAGTAAAGGTTAAATGCACTCTAAACTCTCTAAACGTTATGCTGCAGTAACTCACCTTCAGTTTGTTGACCAAGTTGTGTGAAGTACAAATATAAACCAAAAGATCCTACTAAATTCAAAAAAAATATCATAGCTTGAGCTATTATATCTTAACGCTTCTGTTAATTTGTTTAAACTAATGTCAGTTTTCGAGAGCTTTTAAATTTTGAGGTTCCATTGACATCAGACAGGTGTCATATTGAGTTCTCTCGCCATGTGTTATTTATAAGGAAACTTGATCGATCGGACAATTATTCCACTAGTTTCCCCAGTG